CTACCTACCTACCTACCTACCTGTCTCCCTCTCCACCCATGTATCTATCTGCCGCTCTAGGCATATGCATACAGATTTTTTGCTAAGTATAGTATGCTTTGTGAGACAACGTTTTGTAAATTAAGCAAGCCTATAATGCATATAATGTAACTGTGTATATACATCCATACCTACGTACTTACATGCACATGCGCATTTGCACATGCATATACATGAATGACGTACGAACACGCGCAAGAGCGCATGTGGCCGAGGGCTTGCAAAGGGTTTAGGAGTGTGGCGAAGATTATGTAATCTAAGCATATCTAAGCCGTCACCAGAAACGCACAAGGTCTCAACAACAAAACAACAAGCACATCACATCAAGAACAAACAAATTTGAAAAGACATTTGTCTGCCATGGTTGTAAGCTTGCATCTGTCTATGAATACAGCTGAACTGAAAAGTAGAAGGAACGACCGGTGCAAGTTCTTACGCACATAGCATGGTGCTGCGGGGTTGTAGGAGGGCGCCTGCTCGATCTTTCCAGGCGATGCGCAACTGATGGATTGGCAGCGGGCACTTTCGTGCAGCCCTTCCCCCGGCTTGCCCTAAGTGCTGACATATCCAGTGGAAGCAGACGTCTTGTCGTGCCAAGCATCAGGGTAGCAGACTGCTCCGCGATCTCTGCGCCGTGGTCAATGGTAATTAGAAGCCCCTTGCTCTCTCTATCAAGATCAAGATGGACCAAAATGCTACACTTGAACAGACCCAGGCTAATCCTCGAGATTCCTCGAGCAGCTGTGACGCTTATACTTGTTTAGAGCAGCAAAATGCCGCATGCCACTTGCCCAGCTATGCGAGAAGCAGCTGGGGTGCATGCGTTCTCTTGCTGGTCGGGCCTGTTCCCGCTTTGGGTGCAATGGCAGGCTCGTGGACCATACCTAGCTCATGTTAATGGCTTGCAGGGGGCCTGAGCTTTCCATCCCATTCAGAGTCATGTGACGGATTTGATAGGACTCCCTTGTGAATGCTCGGCCCCTCATACTATAGCCTTCGGGGAACCCTGGAACAGGGCACCCTGAACCCTCCTGCGCCGCTGAAGGCGGTTGCTTTTCCGATAGGCCGGCATGCGACGAATCTCGACATAGTTCCACAAGGCTCAGGGTTGCGGTGAGTCAAGTGTTCGAGGCAGGTGCTCAGGGCATGATGTCTCCCGATCGATCTTCAAGTTTCACTCGCATCGAGTCCAGATAATAGTGCTTGCGCGTTTTCTCTCCCTCAGCCTCATTGGGGCCATGTTCCCTGTAGACTTCGAACCCACCAGGACATGCCAGGACACACTGTAGTTGGCACGAAATGAAGGTCTGACAAGCACAGCTGCTCTTGTGTACAAACGGACACCGTGCAAGCGGGATTACCTGCTGCCTTGCTGCTCGGCATGGCAGTGTCAGATCGTTACCGTCTGCGGCTGCTGCCGGAGGCCGTTATGCCCGTTTGAAAATGACGTCAGCTATGCTTTTGGGTTTGCGGAAGCAGTGGGGTGGGAAGGGCGGTTGAGCCTCATTTCTTATATAGTGCCCGCGTATTCCCCCTAGTCCAAAACTACCCCTCGTATATGTCGTGAAATATTATTTTCGGGGAGCGGAATGCGCCCGAAGAGGAGTTTCAGAGGGACTACAGTGGCTGCAGTACAGTTAGGCGCTATTTTAGAGAGACTAGGGATCGCGCAAGGGTGGATGGTTGGGACGTACAACTAACATTTAACCTGCATCGAACTCGCAGCATTTATGTTTAGGGATTGCCCCAGCATCCGACACCTTCGAATGCAAGAACGAGCTTGTACTGGAACGTGTGAGTTGAGTTCCTTTCTCTAGTGTAGGTTGAGGAATTATCCCAGCATCCGAAACCTTACGATTGCATGAGCGAGTGTTTACCAGAACTATGAGTTGAGTTCCTTTACCTCTCAGAGTTTAGGGCTTCTTTAGGATTTAGGACTGCAGGCACTGCCCGGAACTGCAAACTGGAATGGCAGGAAGGTAGGACTGCAGGGTCTGCGGCCTGCCAAAGGAAGGGTTTAGAATGTATCCTGAGCAATGGGAAGATTGAAGGCCACCACCCCTAATATTTCATTGACATATGTTCACTCATGATACTCTTTAGTTTTCGCGAGGGGGTGAGTTTGATAATGGGGGGAAGCTGCCTCTTATTGTCAACGAGTTTCAGGATGTCGCCTGCAGCCCTGTTCTCCATCCTGACGCCAACCGAACCGAAGGCTCTGGGCGCCGTCTCCGGGCCATGCGTCCTCCTGCTGGCCGCGGGCGAAGAGCCAGAGGCGCGGGAGGGGGACTTTCATTCCGAAAGGGCTTCAAGCCGTGCAGACCTCATCTGATTGCGCCCACAGGGTGCGGTTCGGAAAGCTTTAGATCCGTTCTTTGAAGGCGTCACTGGCCAGCCGTTTCCGATGCCACGTCGAGCCGACCGAAGCTGCACTAAGGGAGGCGGTCTGGGCCCCAAGGATACACGGCGAGAAGATTTCGGGAAGGCGAACCATGCTTGGTTTTTCTGACGGGTGTTAGGATGTGTGATCCAATTCAGCTTGTCTCAGGTGGATGTGGGTCAAGGGTTGGCGTGACTAGGAGACGGGCAAGGTTCAAGATCATCGCATTTGGCATGTTCCTCAGCAACATCATTATGTGTCGTTATCACAGTGAAAATACTTGGGGATGTGGCATTAACCACCTTGTACTAGGGTTGCCAGTGGCCCAAAACAGCGCTGCATGTGCGCCCATCATTCCAGCATTTCGGTTCCCTGCAGTTTTGTCTAAAATGATCCCGAGCCGCTGACATTGCCACAAGGGTGGATCTTGATTCAATTGCTTCTGAATCCCAGGCCTCTCTGGTCCAAGAGGCCTGGAGAACTTCAGAGGGAGGTTTGGGCTTGCGCGTTTGGTGCTTAGTACCCAGTGACAGCGACAGCCTTCATACTGCCATGTTTTTGTCCTGTGCACCGACTACTTAAAGGATCATGGGACTTAGTAAGTAGGGTTATAATTAGGGTAACTATACTTATAACCCCAATTAAGGGACTTATAACCTTACTTACTAAGTCCCATGATCCTTCAAGTAGCCGACTAGCCACATCACTAGATACCGATAGCGCATTGGATTTACAGCCGAGAAAGTGTGCCTGTCAGGCGTTCTTGGCACCACCGCCGCTTGTGAGTTGCAATCCTAGCGTTCAGAAAGTAGAGCCAATTCTTGCCGTTGCGACCGGTTGCGCTTTGTTCTACTGGTCTTGTAGTGGCTCGGCCGAGGTTTCATGTAGTTGGGTCGAGTGCAGGCTGAGTTGGCTGAGTGTGAGCGGTGCTCTGCCCAGCGTGTGCCGTACCTTTGCCGTACATCCTTTGTGTGCTGTATGTGAATTTTAGATCTGCATCATCAGACGCCAAGGGTGGATGAAAGTCCACGAGTTTTGGTTTGACGATAGGCGCACTGGACGCGGGACTTCGACCATTAACACTGGACTCGAAGCCATGCCGGACCGCCGAAAGCACGCAACCCCAGCCGTGCCTGCAGCAAGATTTAACCCCTAGAGTCTGGAGCCCCCGATCCCGCAACCCTTCAACGAAGCACCTTCAATACTACCGCCCAGAAGCATCAACTACAATAAATCGAACACATCGCGCTGACGACGCGAGCGGCAGCGAGGGCAGCAACAATGGCCTTTGCGATGAGAACAGCAAATGTTGCTGTTTTGACCATGATGGGGTTGTGACCGTAACCGAGTATGAATACAGTAACAACCGCAGCGAGCATTGGCGTTCACAATTGCTCTGAAGATTGTTGCCTGCTAGCAGGCATGCCTGTAACTGAGTAGCATCAGTATGAGTCCATCAGACAAACATCCAACGATGCTGATTCATGCATTTGTTACTTGTGACTAGGACGATGCCGATTATTGCTTCTGAGTATTATTAGTCTTACTACAACGACGACGACTACTACTACTACTGTACTACTAGTACTGCTAGTACTTCTAGTACTACTACTGCTACTACTACTACTACTACTACTACTACGACTACTACTAGTCCTACTCCTACTCCTACTCC